TAGTTCATTTTGGATTTGCATATTGCTTATGGACCAAGGAGCTTTAATGATCTTTCTGAGAAATTTATTTTGTATTATTTCTACTTTATTTAGGTTTGTTCTTGCGGCGTTATTCCAGATCGGGCAGGCATATGTGAGGGTTGATCTTATTAATGTTTTATAGACGATTAAGCCGCAGTCAGTGCTAAGTCCGAAATTTCTATTTATTATTGGATATAGTTTGGATATTTTTCCATAAGTTTTATCTGCTATAGATTTGATATGTTGTTTCTAGTTTAGTTTGGTGTCAAGTAGTACTGCTAAGTATTTTGCTGGTGTACTTCCACTCATTCATTCTATATTTGTGTTTTGGAAGCTGAGGAGGGGTGGTTGAGGGGGTTTGCGGAGTGTGAATATTTTTGCTTGAGTTTTAGATACGTTAATCTTTATTTTCCGGTTTGAAGCCCATTTAATGTAGTTATTTAGGTCAATCTGTATGTCGTCGATGGCGCAGCTAATGTCTGAATGAGAGGTAAAAAGTGCTGTGTCATCTGCGTAAAGGGAAATTGCTGTATAGTCTGACTGTGGTAAATCCGACATGTAAACAGTAAAGAGAAGTGGAGAGACGCAAGAACCTTGAGGGACTCCTGCATTAATTTCAAATCTGTTTGAGAAACTTGAGTTAATACGGACGGAAAAATATCTATCTTTTAGAAAACTTCTGATTAGATGGAGTAGATACTTGGGAGTTCCTGGTTGGCGGCAGTTTTGTATAAAAGACCTTCATGCCAGAGTTATCCAAAGGCTTTCTCAATATCTATGGAAAACTGCAATTGTGGTATTTTTTGCTGTGAAATGAATTTGCAATATATTCAGTTAAACGGAGCAATTGGTTGGGTGTGCTATGTTGTGATTCTGAATTCCGAACTGAACCGTCAGGGATAGCGCTAATTTTTGTTTAGGTCGTAGATTAATCTGCTTGAATTAATTTTTTCAAAATACCTTGCGGATGAGGGTGGAGGCTTATTGGTCTGTAGCTTGTAGGAAAGCGAGGAATCTTCTGCCTGTTTAACAGAAGGGTAAAATTATAGAGAATTTCCAATCTTTGGAAAGTGGGCCAGTTTAGACATGAATTAAATGGAGGGCGGTTAAAATAGTTTATTAAATCTTATTGGGTAATTCTTAGAGGGCAGAAGTGTTTGTTAATATGGTCGTGACCTGCTGATTTTCGGTTTTTCATTGCTTAATAATTTTTAGATGTTTCGGATGGGATATAAAATTTTATTATTATCTGGGACATTATAGTCTGGTAAAGGACGTTTTTGGCAATGATAATTAGTACAGGAAGAGTTTGCATTTGGGGTTTGGAGTAAAAACTATTTTGGCAGATATTTACCTAACATATTGGCTTTCCGTTATGATCGTATTACCTACATTTGAGTTGGTGTTTCAGGAATAGATGTCAGTTATTTCTCTTAACAAGTATTTTTATGGTTGACCAGAGTGGTCTACTATTAAGGGTGTAATTTGAGCTATGGATCTTTGAAACTTGCTTAATAACGAAAATTTGATCTAATTTGCTTTTTTTATTGTTCTCCTAATTTGATTTTGGCTTTATAGATCATGTCTGCGGTTGATTTGCCAGAGCCGTCGAAGGTTACGTTTACTTTTAATTAGGTTTAGAATATTCCTTGAAATCTGATTTCTATTGTTAGTGAAAGGTCTTGCGAAAGGAGTTGTTGATTGTACCAATGCAACGTAGATTTTCTGTGTGATATTAGTTACCTGTCTATTTCATTTATTGTTTGTATCTGTTCCGGGTAGTGGAGGTTTACTTCTAATAGGTCTCTAAATTTATTCCAGTTGACCTGCCCTTTCGTGCCCAAAACGGTGAAGGGATTATTAGACTGCAAGGGGTTTGAAGATTTTAGTTCAATGATGACTGGGCAATGATCTAAATCTAATTCAGGAAGTACGGTTTGAGATGTAGGCAAGTGGAAGTTTTTAGACACCATTATGTCTAAAATATCTGGGATAATATTACTATTGTACGGGTAGTGTGTTGGCTGCCATGGTGCTATTACATCTAAGTTATTGTTTACTGCAAAAGATTGCAATTTAGTGCCTTGCTGGGTTGTGCAATTGCATCCCCAGGCTTGGTTTTTACTGTTTAGGTCTTCTAGTAAAACAACGTTGGTGTTATTAAATATTTCTTTGTATTCTTTTACTGGAAATTGTTTATTCGGAGGTTTATAAGCTGTTATTATTGTGTAATCTTTATTATCTATAGTTACGGTGACTGACACAGTTTCCAGGTTAGAAGTGTTGGGGCTAAGTGACAGTTGATGCTTGACTCGGGTTGAAAGAGCAAACAAAACACCCACCGCTGCAACTTTTGAAATTCTGTTATATCCAAAACAAGAACAGTGATTTATAAAAACCATTTTTTTTATTTCCATAAGCCAACAAGAGATTCACTAATAACAAAGCCAGGTTCAGGAGATGTACCGGGGACGTCGCAATGTTCACTGATTAACCGCAAGAAATGTCCGAGTTCGTAACCTGTTCTGCAACACGCTTCACTAGACACCATAACACACTCCCGGCCGGCACTTCACACACTCTGCCGGCCACTCGCCGGGCACCGCTCTTATAGCCCGCCAGGGCTGAAGGTCCGCCGGCCAGCTGCCCGATAAGGGTGAGTTCTGTGGTTCCGGGGCCTGGCCGAGCGTGACGGAGCTGCGGCGTTGGTAATCGGCGCCCTCTCCTGAGCGGCGCCGGAACCACTTTCCTGCGGCAACTTCAATGGCGCGCGTTCGACCATATCAACATCTATATATTTTATAACCTGAAATTTTGAATTTTTCATTTAGAACCAAGTGGGTTTCGGTTATGCATGCAGTATTGATTTTGTATTCGTGAAGAAAAATTTCTATTAGCGATTGTTGTCTTTTAATTCCGTTTGCATTCCAATTCATTAGAGTGATTGTATTTGCCATTATGGAAATTTATTAGCACTGACTGTATAATATTTTGAATTTGCGGGATTATAGCTGATTACTTGTCATACTAGTGTGGTTATTAACTGGGATACATCAGTTGGCATTTGGGTTTGCAAAGATTGGACCGGTGACCACGGGGTATTGCTTTTAGGAAGGGGAGGAAATCCGCGAGGGCTAAATGTTGGAGGGCTACGAGAGGGATTGTTGCGCGGCGGTGGTTGTTGCTCTGACCCTGACCTGCGTTCATTTTGGAGGTTTGAACGTGCTTGCTGAGTTTCTTTGAAAATGCGACAGCCTTTGTAATTGGCCGTGTGCTCCTCGCCACAGTTTACGCAATTCGGTTAGTTACTTTTTGGTTTTGAGCATTGAGAGTAATGGTGTGACTCTTTGCATCTAACGCACCTCGGAGTAAGTCGGCAGTTTGCTTGCGAGTGTCCATACCTTTGACGTTTACATTGTATTGGGTAATTTTGATTTATTCTAGGTTGAATTTGTACGACGCAATGCATCAGGCGGTTTAAAGTGAATATTGACTTTGCCTCTTTATTGTCTTTTATTTCTAAAGCACAAATTTCGATTGGATTTTTCTTTTTGTCAAATAATCTAGTCACTTTGGCAATAGGGTATTTGAGTTCAAGTTCTTTTAAAATGTCAGCTTCCGAGTACCATGTAGGGATGCCCTTCAACACAGCATTAAAGGTCTTAATAGAAGGGTCGCGGAAAGAATAGAATTGTTTCTTCTCCACTACACAGTAATGTCTAAAATTACGATAATCTTCTTTTGTAGTAAGCATGATTTTTAGTTGATCACCGGCTGTCTTTATTGTGAAATCACATTTGACGACTGATTTAATGTCGGAAATCATTTGGTTGTTGTCAAGGACGTTGTGCATAATTATGGGCGGAATTTTTAATGTTTGTTCTGGATTATTTAGATTACTGACTTTAAGATTTTGAAGCACTTCGAAACGCGATGAATTTGGAACATTATGCCATTATAGAGTTTTCATCATCACTTCTCTTTCGTTTGCTTACGTTTGAAAGCGTTTCGTTTGATGTTGTTGCATGCGTCTTCTCGTTATGATGTTCTTGAGGCAGGGTAGCATGCGGCGGTTGCTGTTGCATAAACGGTTGCCCTTGCTGCGCTGCGGGTTGATTCTGTTGGAGCAGCAATAGTTGCTGCTGTTGTTGCTGATGAAGGAGTTGAAGATGTTGCTGCTGTTGTTGTAGAAGTATAATTTGCGCTGCTGGGAGAATGCACTGTTCACTGTTGTTTGCATATAAAGTATCCATAGCGTTAACAAACACTTCTGATGTGCTATGTAGCCCCGACTCGGGGCTACCTTGTTCGTTCATTTTGCCACTCGCGGTGACGGGTTGGTTTTAACTCACTAGTGGTAAATAATTATAATACTAGTTGCAAAATTAAACTGTTATAATATTTTTAAAAAAGATGGCTGTGCAAGCGAAAATAGTTCGACATTCAATCTAAACACACTACGCAGAGAGAGAGCTGTGGCGTCCGCTGTGCACGGCACGGCTGCTCGGTGCGAACTCAAAGCTACCTTATGTAAAATACCTAGCATGCCATCACTAATGTTACTTTAGTGGTAATTCATACTTGTTCAGATACTCCTCATTTTTTTTACAATAAAACTATTTTTTGTATTTTTTTTTTTTTTTTTGTGGAACTACTTAGTTAGAACTCTTGTACTGGTTCATAATGCACATCATTTCCTTTAAATTATGTGAGTAAATATTGCCAAATCAATATTTCCAACTGTCTAGCAAAAACTTACGATCAGAGAATGTTCGCGACAAACTCACGAACAATACTGAGTGCGTTCACTTCCCAGCCTTCTCGTTTCAGCATGTACTCCACTTTCTCTTTTCATTCCATTCACCTCTCATCCCCATTTGCCCTTATCAACATCATTTCATTATCATCACCATTCAGCTCTCAAAATCACTTCATGTTTCATTAAGTGGTAGGCCAAGACACATCACTTCTGTAATCACCTGTCCAGGAAAGGGTAGAGCTAAAGCATCAACCAACGCCATCGCACAGAAATGGTTATGGGAGTCATTACATTTTACTAACATTTAGTCCAAAGATTTTAAAATTATCATACGTAACCATTCAGATGTATGCTGCTGGCTTGTGAGTGGTACGGGAACATGGGTGATTTAAAGAAGAAAATATCCACTTGAAAGAACAGATTTAAATTTTCTCGTTCTTTATTTCGTTTTGGAAGGAGCGTAGTGTGCCGATTGGCCCAAGGGGACATCGCAGTCACTGGGAGCAAGCGGCCATGAGGGCGTCGCACTCAGCGGGCGCGGGGCAGCTTCTTTGAAGGGCGATGGGACTGAGGGGCTAAAATAGATTCCGGTTGTGTCAACTACGGAAGACATTATTACCGTAAGTGTAGTGCACAAAACGTCCGGGCAAGTGGAACTGTTCGTCCCTCTCTGGAATATCAGATCCAAGGCCAACTTACACGTCCGCTTGCGGGGTTTCCCCTACCAGATATCTCCGCCAGCGGAACACCCGAGCCAAGCTTTAGACACCGGACGGGTCCTCCAACATGTGGAGTGAAGTGCATGAATGCGTGAGCACATAAGACGAGAGAACGGAACAAGGAAGAGAAGGGAAAGATGACATGCCCTAGAGTTCTCCTCCAGATAACGGTTGAATTGAACGCAGACATGTAGCTCGTGACGGTAAGACCCTCAACGGCGATGCAGGCGCCGGCCGCCGGCGTCGAGCGCGCGCTCACGTGTGTGTGGGTGTGTGTGTGGCGTGCGCAGTGCCCGAGGAGAAGGAGACGCTGCTCTCGCGCCAGCTGTCGCGGCCGCCGGGCCTGCTGTCTGGGAGCTCCACGCCGCGCTCCACGCCGCGCTCCACGCCGCGCACCACGCCCTCCCGCAGCAAGTCGCCGTCTCTGCCCAGTGAGTAGCCCGCGCCCGCCGCTGGCCCTTCTTCCCGCTTGCTTCTACTTTACTGCTAGTGCTAACACGCAGGGATGCGACATGGATGTTGCTGTTTTGTAGAAACATCGACACCGATGTTTTATGATCGATGTCTCTTTTCTTTTCCGATGATTTGTACCTGAATGAAAAATTCCCATGATCACAATATTATAGAAGTTGAAATATGAATAAATAACCGATAGTAACACTGTTATTTTAAAAAAATTATTTTATAAAAATTTGAAGTTATGTCACAAACCTGATGTGGAGTAAAATTCACACCGTATTCGGATTTAGCGACCCCAGAAATATGTAGAAACCC